CCCTCGGCTCGGATATCCTTTGTGAATGGCCCCTTAGGAAATTATAAAATGTTAAAACTGATATCAAATCCACTTGGAAGGCTCTTAATGAAGTTATTAATAAAAGACCGAAAACTATTTTTTCCTCATCGTTTAAAAGTAGTATCAACAATACAGAAATTCCAGACCCTGTTGAAATTGCTAATAAGCTAAGTTCTGCAACTATTCAGTTTCTGGTATTGGTCGAAACCTTGCTAAGAAAATTCACCCATCTTCCAAATTCCATCGACAATTTCTTTCATGTAACTAGTGTTGAAATCGGGGCCTTTTTAACAGTCAAAGCCCCCCAATCCCCATGGTGACCCTTCCCACTCAAACATCTTATAAGCAAAACATTGGAAGAAATGTTTTCATAAACATACCACCAGCAAGTACTTAACTGAAGATTCAGTGTATCTACAGTATATTGTAACGCTGTATATCCAAAAATCTGTTTCGGAAAACGTACGAAATGCAGTCTCCTATATAGCCAGTATAGTATGGTCCCTAAATGCCCCCCTCTCCCCCGGACAAAATCTTAAATAAAGCCCTTGTTGAAATTATAGAAATTGCCAAAACCTTTCAGTCAAACATAGCTGCTGGTTATGATAAAATCCTTATGTCAACAATCAAGCATCTATAAGTATCATTGCTGAGCCACTTGTTCACGGCTACTAGTAAAACCAGGAACACCGGAACACCGGAACAACGGAACACTGGAACAGCATCATTCCGGAACACCGGAACACTAAAAATTCTTAATTTGTTAAAAATTTGAAAAAAATTACCGGGGGGGATGAAATTATTGCTGGAAAAATTATTGCGTAAAACATCCTTTTTAATAATATTCTGACTTGCCGATTCCTACTATAAATTACGAACTGAAGTCAGTCTCAAATCAGAACAAAATTCCCTACTGAATTGAGTTAATAAATTTTAAACATAGTGAAATAGACAAATAGACACACATGCGTTGGAATATTATTTAAGCTATGACTTACAAGGCCTACATTTGTTTGTATTTTTGTCATTTTTATTGACCGAAATGGCGAAAGGTTATTATCATGCTAAAAGTTTTCCTTCCATCGCTGCTTATGTGTTGTGTTAGAAACGATCAAGTTGCTATTACGCATATTAAAGAATTGTAAGTGATCCTAAAGTAAACGCAAACTTTTAACGAGTGATAAAACAAGGAAGCCAATCAACGATAAGTTTGTAAAAACAAGGAAGCCAATCAACTGTTGTTACACCATTAATATTGACCAACAGCCGGCCAAAGCCCAAAGGTCATGTTTACAATAACAAACAAAGTCAGATAGCCATTTATTGTCAACAAATAACACGGTTTGATTTCTTCTTTTCGGGCAAATATTTGTTAATTTGAGACTGATTTCAGTTCGTAATTTATAGTAGGAATCGGCAGGTCAGAATATTAAGAAGCATGTTTTACGCAATAAATTTTCCAGCAATAATTTCACCCCCCCCCCGGTAATTTTTTCCGAATTTTTAACAAATTAAGAATTTTTAGTGTTCCGGTGTTCCGGAATTCCGGTGTTCCGGAATGATGCTGTTCCGGTGTTCCGTTGTTCCTGGTTTTACCAATAGCTCTTGTTCACTTAATTAATTTATCAATAACAAGTGGTATTGTTCCGGATGAAATGAAAATTGCATGTGTTATTTCGTTGTTTAATTGAAACGGGTGATCGTGCATTATTTTCAAATTATCGACCAGTATCGATACTTCCAAGTTTCTCTAAATTCTTGGAACGGATTATATATAATCGTTTATTAATTTATTGAGATAGATTTAAAATATTATACGAAAATCAATATGAATTTCGCAAAAATCATTCAACTTCGCTATTTCCGATAGATCTATGTATGATAAAAATTTCAGGTGCAATATATTGATAGAAAGGAAATTTCGGTAGGAATTTTCTAGGACCTTTCTATATCCTTTTAATAATTAAAAATTGCATTGGATAAAGATTTATTTCACGAATAGATTTCAGTTTGTTCAATAACAAGAATACTACTCAATCCCTCAAAAAGGTTTGTTGTGGGGTACCTCAGGGTTCAATTCTTGGTCCTCTTTTCTATGTATTATTTAATGGCTTATTCAATATTTAAGAAACTTGTCTTGTTGAAATTGGATGATATTTGTTTGTTACAACCTGGTCAGTTTATGTTTAGTCATAAACATAATCTTTTTTCCGAACGTAGTCATGCAATTTGATACATTCGAAGTCAAAAATTTTTTCGAATTACCACATGCCTTTGTGTAGAACAAATATTAGACAATTTCCAAAGTTTTTCGATTCTCTTCCTTGTGAGTTGATAAACATAGACTCTTTTTACTTATTTAAAGAAATTGAAAGTTAACTTTTTCCTTAATTATGAGAATGTTAAAATGTGTAATTAGATCCGCTATATATTTTGATATATAATGTTCCATAGAATTAAAAGCGAGCCTAAATTTATAAAAGCCTTGTGGTTTCTTTTTGCGCTCCCTTGTTAACAACGCTGATATATTTAAAATATTTTTTAATTTTGTAGTGTGTTTGTAAATGGTTGGTACTAAATCAAACCAATTAAAACCAGTTAATTAATCAATTTATAATAAATTAGTTAATTGATTAATTAATTAAATCAATTAAATTAATTAAACATTTTTCGAAGCGTTTCAGATTAAATTTTACATTTAATCCATGCTCACAAATGCAAAATAATTTATCTACAATAGTATTTCTGAAATTCATTGTTGTATAGTTAAATGTACGTATCTTTTAATTAACTATTTTGACGTTTTGTACAAAAAAATATCAAAAAATTTAAAATTTAAAAATATCGAGTTCAGTTGTCATGGCAACACTTGACGCCACAGCGCAAGCCTGCGGTCAATATTAGCTACTTACTGCTATTTAACAATTATTCGCCGAAGGCGAGGTGATTATCGGTGAATAAAAACCGAGACGAAGTCGAGGTTTTTATTCACGATAATCACCGAGCCTGAGGTGAATAATTGTTTTAGTATAATTTCATAGGTGAATATTTGGAAACAAATTTTAAAATGCACATTTCTTCGTCATTTAATTGACAAAACGGCTTCGACCGCCATTTTGAAAATCGCTTAGGTGATTATCGCGTAATAATCACCTCAACGGCAACTAATCAGCGTGGAGAATTTTCAATAATCACCTATGTAATTATACTAATTCATATTAAATTAATCTTTGGAAAATGTAGGCGAGGGATGAATTGCTGCATTCATGTATTTTCTAGTATTATGTTGTACTTCAGGCTTTTTATCAGTTATTTCCAACATTGAGTGCAGTTTGGTTTATAGAAGATTATACGTCTTTTTGTAAACGTCCTTCTGGCGGTTCATCTGTCTTGGAGCTAAAAAAACATGATTTATAATTTTTAACAGTGCTTTTAGAATAAACCATTCTGATTGATTAACAAATAGTTCGTCTAATGGCGTATTTATACATAGACTGTGTATGTTTGTCTGCGCAGATAGTTCTGAATCCTGTAACTGTCGCTTTCTTTTTCCATTAAGGCCGTCCCTGCAAACAATGTAAGCAATACAAAAGGGGGAACAAATATTGTACCAGATCCTGTCGGTGCAGATGTTGCAAGGAAAATATGTGCCCAGGTGGTTGTGGTTATCGTTGCGGTGTACGGGTAAGTAGTCGTATACATATCTTAGGAGACTTTTCCACTTATCAAGACATAGTAAAGATTTTCTTTATAATGAAAGAAACTGGCCGGAGTTCATTACTCTCGCTACTGAGTATCGGCACGTTTCAGGCTAAGTTGTCATCCAGACCAGGTGTCCATCCAGTTTATCTGATAGCTTCCTATTACAGTTGACTGTAGGCTTGTTCCAAGAATGCTAAAATAAATCAGAACAATGAATGACTGGAAGGCATAGTGAAGAGAGCCACTTTAAAAAAGACAATAGAACATACCGACATGTAAGGTTTTTGAAATCTTACATTTTCAAACCCATTACATCCAGAGCTGTTTCGTGAGACGGACTAGACCGCAAACTAGTGTTAAAAATTAATACTTATATTTGTTTTAAATTTCTTTCGCTATAGTGTAAAAATAAAAAGCCGCACCCACCATGTCCCTGATGAGATGACGTTTGTTCGGGAAAGGCCACCACGGAACATAACACAAACGACTGCAAATGGATAACGGAAACTGAAAGTATTAAGAAAAATAAAATTAATTTGTTGTAGAAAAGCGCTTCTTACAGGAACTTCAAAAGCATATTTAATAATAATCATTAAAAATATCTTAATGTGTGTGTGCTTGCATACATAAAATGTATGTTGGGGAAATTGAGCTGTTGTGGTTTCGAACAATTAAGACTGCGTGAAAAAGGTTTTTAAATACATATTTCGAGTGAAAACCTACAGTAGAGGGTGGAAAGGGTATTTTCGTCAGCCGTGAATGGTCAATATTTGTTCGTGTGAAATGTGAAATGCTTGATTTTAGTATCGTGAAATGTGATTTGTTCTACAACTGTGAAGCATGATTGTCGATAAAAATGTTTCGTGAAATAAGACTTTCATTTAGGACTCATTTCATCATCCTTAAAGGCGGTTTTCCACTAGGCGAAATTTTTCGACCGAATCGAAATTTCTCTTTGTTTCAGAGCTCTCGAGCAGAACTAATTGTAAAAAGACAAAGAGAAATTTCGTTTCGGTCGAAAAATTCCGCCTCGTGGAATCCGGCCTTAAAAGGATGTCTGTTTCGTGAACTATGATTTTGCTTTGACGTTTGTTTATTTCGATCTATTTTATAATAGTCATAATAGACATAATATGAGATAATAACTTATATGATCGACCTCACTCGATTGCACAAGAGTAAAAACATCGGAGGCCTTTCGGAGTTCGTGGGACGTACTCGTTTTAAAAACACTTTGTACAATGTACAAGTACAAATAGGACTTGTCAGTTAAAAATCAGTTTGCCGTTAACTTAAATCAGTTTGCCGTTATCAACCTCAGCCTTCGGCTTCGGTTGATAACGGCAAACTTCGGGCTTGATAATTCTTCATATCGCGCTCAACCTCATTCAATAATTGTTAAATATATTACTATTTTTGCACAAGTGAACATAACAAATCCTAAAAGTTGATTGGTCAAATTTGACGTATTAAGTATAGGTTATTTTGAGGCAACGAGGGGATATGTGATTTATTCACCGAGGCGCGCAGCGCCGAGGTGAATAAACACATATCCCCGAGGTGCCTCAAAATAGCGTACTTATTTTTCACATTGCGAGGTCGCCTTAATGATTCAGAATAGAAATAATTCTTAATGCCATATTGCTTTCGTTATGTTGTTTTTTTCTCATTTTTGTGCTGCAAAGACATTGCAGGTAAATATTAGAGGGATTATTAATTACAGGTGAATATTAGAGGGGACTATTAAACGGAAATTGATTAGAGGGGAATATTGAATATATTCCCCGATAAGAACAAAGGAAACCGAGCAGGGTGAAAAATAAGCTGTTATATTCACCTACAGGTGAATATAAAAAACCCGAAATTTTCAAAATAGCGGCTAGTCGTTTTGTGGAAGACGGTACCGTTTCGGCCTTATGGGCCTCATCAGTGTAGTGCTGACGAGCAGGATGAAAGGATGAACTTTTGGATCAACCGCAGAATGAACCTTTGATGCCTCACGATTGTGGGACATCAAACCATGCCAGAGCACTCAAACTGCAAGCAGTGAGCGTGCGCAATGCGTAAACGGCATGGCTCATCCTGTAGAGCGCTCAATATGACCTAAAAGGCCATAGAGCGATATCTAACTACAGACGGTACCGTTTCGGCCTTATGGGCCTCATCAGTGTAGTGCTGATGAGCAGGATGAAAGTAACTGTTATTTACAGTTACCTTTGATGCCTCACGATTGTGGGACATCAAACCATGTCAGAGCGCTCAAACTGCAAGCAGTGAGCGTGCGCAATGCGTAAGCGGCATGGCTCATCCTGTAGAGCGCTCAATATGACCTAAAGGCCATAGATATATATATATATATATATATATATATATATATATATATATATATATATATATATATGTAGGTGTTTTGAACTTCTTACGAGTATGAACCCGCGGGCAAGCAGAAAATCAATTCTACTTGACCACGGCTGGGAATAGAACCCGCGACCTTCGCATTTCTAGAACGACGCTCAGCCTTCTGAGCTACAAGGCCAAGTTGGGAACGATATGTAATTTATTTGTGATGTTAATGACATGAACGAATTTCTTCCTTTCCATGCCTGGTGCCAGCTATTAATCCAGCGAATGTTGTATATGATTTTTTTTCTTCAGATTCTACTCGTGATGTAATGTGTAGGTATTTTGAACTTCTTACGAGTATGAACCGGGCAAGCAGAAAATCAATTAATACTCGTAAGAAGTTCAAAACACCTACACATTACATCACGAGTAGAATCTCAAGAAAAAAAATCATATACAACATTCGCTGGATTAATAGCTGGCACCAGGCATGGAAAGGAAGAAATTCGTTCATGTCATTAACATCACAAATAAATTACATATCGTTCCCAACTTGGCCTTGTAGCTCAGAAGGTAGAGCGTCGTTCTAGAAATGCGAAGGTCGCGGGTTCGATTCCCAGCCGTGGTCAAGTAGAATTGATTTTCTGCTTGCCCGGTTCATACTCGTAAGAAGTTCAAAACACCTACACATTACATCACGAGTAGAATCACAAGAAAAAAAATCATATATATATGTATATATATATATATATATATAATATATATATATATATATATATATATATTTATTATATATCAATAGTCAAAGTCGCATTTTTCTAGTGTTTTATTGGTTGAGAGCAAATCGCGTGAGAGTGACGAAATTAGACTGTTTCCCTCGCAACAGCGCGAGAGGGAAACAATACGTTATCGACCGATGAATAACGAAAAAGTTCACGTGCGTCATCACGTGAAGATGCGACCTTTGGACATTCCTAGTACGTAATTAAAACTTTCGCTTTAAGTATTAAACTGCAGTGTAGCCAGTGTTTAATATAACGTTTTAACAATAAAATATTTCATGTATTTACGTTCATTTGTTCTTTAATTTGTTGTTTCTTTGACAATTGATATATAATAAAACACTTATTTACTGAGACCGAGGGAAACAGTCATAGATATCTTATATACACTAGATAGCGCATCTCTTTTACTTTTTAGTAAAATTGAAGCGAAGAATATTCCAGCGGTTACCCCCATTTGAATAGATGGCGGCCATGTTGGTCGTTCCCACTTGTTAATAAACGCTTAAAAACAACAATAACTTTCATCATTTGAATAGTTTACAGTGCGTCTACAGTAAGTGGGGCCACTTAGAGAACACTAACCAATCACATTGCAGAACAGAAAGTGAAAAGTCAACAAACGGCGCATTAGCAATCAGCATTAGGCCAAAAACAATTTGAACAAATAAACGAATGTCAAACGGTAAAAATAGACTTGTAAAGTAAACACTGCAGTTAATGGCTTCCTGAATCTTTCTTTTGATTGGACGAGCTTTAGTTTGATTAAATTTTTCATTTTGTTCTGCAATGCGATTGGTTAGTGTTCTCTAAGTGGCCCCACTTACAGTAGACGCACTGTAAAAATGTATTTGGAATAGGGTTAACTTAA